AGAGGGGGGTGCTCAAATCCTTCCTCTTCCTTATAAACCACTGCTCCATGTGCAACTAAATAGCGAACCATGTAGATGTTATTGTTCTCCACAGCCACCACAAGAGGTGATAAGCCAGTGTAGTCATATATTTCTAAATTGCAATTATGTAAAAGTAGAATAGAGACGGAAGCCTCATCATTATTGTCCACTGCAACATGCAACGCAGTCCGTCCAAATTCATCAACCCCATTCACATCGGCTCCATTCATCAATAGTTCATTTGCGATGTCAAGGTACTTTAGCCTCACAGCTAAAATGAGTGGTGTAATTGTCGGATTATTTGGGAAGACATTTGAATTGACCTAGAAGAATATCAATGGAGTTCGACTTACATTGTTTGCCAGTTGATTTCTTACAGAATCAATGTCATATCGAATAATAGCTTCATAAAGTGTTTGCTCTGGTTTGGCCATGGCTTGAGAGGCAAAGAGAATACTTGCCACTCAAATATGATCAAATTCATATCGATATTTTGAAAAAATGCTTTAATCATTAATCAGCAGAGTGACGCCAAAGATTGGTCAAGTCAATTAATTTGATTATAAGTAACCAATAGATGTTTGAGTGCTTGATGTAATATTGGCCAATTCCTTGTCCTAATGAGGCGTGAAATCGAACGAGTTTGGATAATTTGACTGAATACATCTCGAGTAGAATTTAATAAAGCTTCTAAGTAGAGCATGCATCAGAAAAATCGAATTTCATTTGACTATGGTGTGGTACTTGAACGAGTTCAGTGTTCAGGGAATTTTGTATTGTTGTTGACAAACCTCCTATCAACCCTGAATTAAAAATGACAACTGTCAAAGCCGTCTCAATTCTTCCTACTTTGGCAACCCAAATTCAGAATATGATATTCACGATGCATTGTCAATACGTCTTCCAACACCTCTCTCACATCTATTTAGTATATAATTTCCCTATCTCTTAAGAAATTCGCCAAAATACAGTAATGAGCGTGGAGACACAACTATATTAAACTAATCCTATGTGACATAATATATTCTGGAAGCTATTGTGGGCCATTTTGTAATTTTATTCTGCATATATCTAATGCAATTATACAGAAAATGTTTTTTTATAGTTAATACCAATAAGTTGTTTCAATACGATGACGACTTCTAAATAAGTGAATGGGTAAAAGAACCTTATAAGTTGTGAGACATTGCCAATGTTCCCTTGCCAATAGTCGTCAATGAAATATTGATATTCACAAGACGAGATTGGCTTAAGTTATGACGCCTCAATATCCCATTTCCTGATTTGTACAACCGGATTCATGGATGATCTAATTTCCC